TAAGCAACTTCGTGATAGAAAGTAGAGCAGAGGTTGGATAATAAAGTGTTGTTAGTATTCAATGTTTCAAACAAACTCAAGATGTGGAGACTGGGTAATAGAAACAAAGTACCACTGATTTTATGTTTGTATATTCCCATTGATAAAGAAAGTGAGAGAAAGCAAGATTGAAAGTGAGCCTGCTCTGATCTCTACAAATTTTGTCATTTCCACCCTGGAAGATTTCGCCGGAAAATTTTCATTCTTTTTCAGTTAACAACATGGAGGCGTGATTTCCGTAAAAGTTTTGGCAAAGAAAAACCATGAAAGTTTATGCCGAACGAGGACACACACTCGATTCCAATTCAAGTGACCTTGCTCTGGCAATCTGGTCTTTAATGGTGATAATAATAATAATTATACATTTATATTGTGCTAATACTTATGAAATATTCAAAAGCACTTTGTATAAAAAGAAGCTAACAAACTAAAAAAAAGATATATAAAAAGCATAAAATGTGCTAAAAATACAAAAATATAAAACAGCTTGTGTGCAGAAGACTTACAAAAATTATAAACAGTCATAAGAGATGAAATAAAATGGGCAAATGATTTCGTGTTGTTTCACTGCCTGCTTGCCATCACATCTGCTTGGAATATTTAACTCTTGCCATATGCAGTTCAACAGATTATGCAAGTATGTCTTGTTTCATTAACAAACCTTCAGCTCCTATTTCCTGCTCCCTCTTTAGTTTGAAATTTATCCAGAAATAGACTGGAACTTTGTTAAGGTAATTCCTCAGAAATATAAGTTGCCGAACAATTTTTTTGAAACTTTCCCTGAATGTTCCCTACCAATGCAAGCACTGTTTCGAAAAATACAATAAAAAGGATAGGTCACCATGCTCGCTTAAGAGATATGATGGACCATTCACACCCAATTTATGCTTAACTACACATGTCATTCCATCAGTTAATGTCACATTATGTGGGAATGGAAAGCAACAGTCATTAATTAAAGTAATACTTGAAAAATTCTTGGTTGGTAGAAAGTCTGGGGCACTTGGAACTATTATATAATTTAAAGAAAAATCACACAATTCTAAGTGACATTGGCTCAAATTATTCCTTGAATTGTCATTTTCGAGGTCATGATTCACTTCCTTGAGTAACTGTTTTTGTGCACTGTTTTAGATTTTTTTTCCCTTCTGAACAATTTTGTTTTTAAATTTGTTAACTTAAAGTGGATAATTTGTGCATGAAAATTATGCAATAAAAAATAAAGGTCATCATGCTCATGTAAGAGAAAACAAGTATATATTTCGCTCTCGGGCTTAGTTTGGGAGAAATCTCTCATGTTGTGTACGTGCCCGCAGTCATGTGTGCATGCTAATGACATGAAAATGATGCGCAGTAGGGATGCGCAATGCAATACTGAGGAATCACCTTAAGACATCAGTTAAAAGATAATATGCACACTCAACTCCTCCTCTGACTCCAAATGTGGATGACTTATATTATACTTTGAGAACCTGTGGTTAATTACGGACTCTGTTGGGATCTGATCACTCGATCTTCATCAAACATAATAGATTGGCATTTTCTCTCATTTCCCACTTTTTGGCCAATGGTGTTTCATTTCACTCAGGTGAAGTAGAAACGAAACAATTACTAACAGAGATCAAGGTAGGCTCACTTTCTTGGCACCTCGATCTTCACCAGACTCCACCCTGCCGGATCAATTCCCTCTTTGCCACTCGCGCATGTGACTCAAAGGTGAGCCTGCTAAAGCCTGTAACAGTCTTGGTTCAGGCCCTGGCTAGGGTCATCATGACTGTGTGGTGTTCTTGAGAAAAACTCTTCACTCTCACAGTGCATCTCTCACCTGGTAATTACAGTCTAACCTCCGGTTGCGACAACTTCTCATAAGCGACCACCTCTCCTCAGCAACTAGGTTTCCAAAATACCAAAAGTTTTCCAGTCAAATGACTATACTTGGAAGCTCTTGTAAGCAACCACCTCTCGTAAGCGGCCTCAACCACTTTTAGAGTTAAAAGTTTGAAATTTTCTTTTGTTTTTAATTACCTCCTGTAAGCAACCACTTGATAGAAAATAGATCAGAAATTGGGTAAATCAAGGTGTTGTAATATTGTTGCATTGCGATTCCTTGCTAGTAAAAGAGACGGAAATTTCTTATTGGGAAGTACCAAATTTTTTCTCGAAATTGAATTTTTACAAGAAAAAAACATTGAAAAATGTAATAAACGAAAAATGCACATGCATTGTACCCTATCAGTCTTAAAAGAGACAACCTTAAATGTTTTACAATTACAGAAAATTAGAACTGATTTCCTGATTCGCTCTTCCCTCAAGAACAGTCAATAGTTACATGTAACATGTGAATCACCAGCAATATAAAAGGGCAGTGTCAAATTTAAAGTCAGCAATCCAATCCTTATTAGTTCATGTTCAGTCCCCCCTGACTCAATATTGTCTAAGCTCTCATAAGTGCCAATCTCCC